TACGAGGGGCATATAAAAGTAAGTTTCTCTCTATTTGAAAAATAAAATGAAAGATGAAACAATTATAAAACTTTTTTATTTTATTAACTTGAGCTTTAAATTATTTCTCAACGTTATTGATATTTAAATACTTATAATATGATATCAATTTTTCTATACCAGTATTTAAAAAACTTATTCTTGAATCGGAGCCATTTCAGCCTTGACTTATTCATTATCGCTTTTTTGTTACCCAAAAAATTTTTGTTATCCAAATGTTTCTTAAGCATAGGAAATAGATGAAAATTATTCGTGCAAGATCTGGATAATATAGTGGATGACCAAAAATTTGACGTTAATGTGCGCGGCCTACCGCTTCAAAGCTTATAATGAATTTCCGTGCCATTAAGAAACTCTAACTGTCATCGTCGAACTATTTGCACGCATACTTTTTTCTGTATATATATATATATATATATATATATATATGTATAGAAATTATTTGACAATGAATATTTATTGCATTTTTGTTTTATACAAAAATACTGAATTATCGCGTGTAATTCGTAGTCGGACACGTCTTGTATTAGCGTCTCTATAATTTGAATTTGCTCAGTTAACAATGATGTAATGAATATGATTCTGAGTGCAAAAATGTTACTAACACACTTCAAAAAAAAAAAAAAACCTTACACAACTACTTACTTCTTATAACCGGTTTTTTCCTACGATATAGAAACTTACTTTTTCGCCTCATATTTTTTCATGTTACGTAAATTATTATAAAATGTTTCTATTTTTTTTATATACCATAAACAATTTAATTCATTTTTGTAACTGTACGAATGTCACGATTATTAAATAAATTACAAATTAATCAATTGACAAACACGTGAGCTTTTAGCTTTCTTGTCGATCGACTGTTCGTCGTAAGAAAGACTACACACAAGAAAGATTTTTTCATAAATAAGGCTGTTACTTACAATTATAGATTGTTTTAAAATACTGTTAAGGCTGAGGTTCTTAATTGAGACCCAGTGCCTAATATTACAAACTAGAGACTGGTCGAACAATCTTGAGATTAAGATTCAAGTAAGCTGCAAACATTATTAAAGACTAAAGATATTAAACGTATTTATACAAATGTAAAAGATCGATTTAAAATAATTATCAATATCGAATTATCTTCCTTCTATAAGGAAGAGAAAAATTGTTGTATAATGTTATCAAACATATAATTACATTTATCTATTATTATTGTTATTATACATACCTTCTCTAATAACAGATATTAATAATCTACTGTAGTATTCGTTAAAAAAAACAGTATTGATATAAAAATGCAGCTGCTGGAATACTTTCTCTCTAAACTTATAAAACCTCATGGTGTGCTTACTTATATTTTATTATTAGATAGTAAAACTTGCCAAATATATAAATCGACAATAAATCATAAGTGATATTTTAAAACAGGAGAGAGAAAGATAACTTTAAATGCGTTGTATTCTGTAATAAAAATGAAAGACTTACATATTGTTTAAG